AACTAATTTTCTAGCCATTTGAAAAGTCAACTGGGTATTGATTATTCGAAAAGGCCGGTGTACATCGCATTAGAGTTAGCATGGTCTCATGCTATGCATGTTAGACTCCGTTATGGATATACAAGTGCTTGTCTATTGGACAACTTCATTAAACACTGACCGTCCAAGAAGTTTAACGTATAGATGCTTACTAAATGTTAAACGTTCCAAAGCTTCTAGTTGTAGTAAGCAAATAGTTCTTAGACTAGGCATCGTAGGTATCTTATATTTGCATGTATGAATTTTGATTTCACCTTAAAGCCCTCAATCAAATCGCAGGGCTTTATAGTGTGGTATTCAAGTTCATATGTATGAGTATAAAGATACATGAATGTGCAATAAGTAATCTATCACCTTCTGGTAATTATTCCATAGAATAAGATATCTCTCAAAGCCATTTGAAGATTTATTTCGAAAATCTCTAGCAAGAGTAATTGTTGATCAAGATATGTATGTAAGAACTGCTTTAACATTAGATGTATTATTGCGGTCATAGATGATAGAAGGACATAATTGAATCAAGGGTTTGAAAAAGTATCATGATTAGGCCGCGTACACTTCTATTAATATGAGTGGCTATGTCATGTTGCTTGGTGTCACTCATGGTTTGTGTAATTATATTAATTCATTAATTATTTCCACTCCTAGCTTTAGTTAGAACCTAAAAGGTCACACATGTATGGTATGTTCTAGTAACGTTATATGGATGAAGATAAGATATAATTCAATGTTAATTATATTGGATTAACTATTTGAGTTTAATGGACATGGTTTTAGTTAAATAAGCACTGGGCTTTAAATAATTAGAAAATGGTCCAAGTCACAACCCAAAGTGCGCAAGTCATTTAGCTAGGCCCATGGAACAAGCCCATGCCGTCAAACCCTAGGGAGGTACAGCCAAGGGGGGCACGGCAAAAGGGTGGATATACACTCGTTATGTTTCTCTCATAATCCTAATGCAAAAGTCATTTAGTTTTGTCCCTCAGAGAAAAGAGAGAAAAACCGACAGCCAAAATATTGCTGCACTTTCTATATGTTGATCTAAGTGAAAGGTATTGCTAGCACAATTTATTTATTTATTTTATGGATAAACAATATTATCTATACTAAGGGAGAATGAGTGGGTTTAACCTCACAATGGGCTAGCAATAATGTCGTTCGAATTTGTATTTAGTGATAATCGAACCCAAAACTTCTCACTTACAAGTGAAGAGGGATACCACTAGGCTGTAGTTTTAAGTAGCAACATATTTAAATAAATCACTTCAACATTTGTTGCTAGCTTATGTATAATAAGCCCAAAACTGGTAATCGGTAACCGGCAATCCTTTATTACCTCTCCCGATTAACAGAGCGTGAGGAAGATATTCCTTCCATTCTTCCTTTGTGTTGTTTACGAAATCTGGTTCTTCTAGGGTTATAGTTGATGGTTGTTTAGCAATTTCATCCATCTCTACTACAGAACCAGATAACATACTCTTTCTTTATGTGAGTCAAACAAAAATAAAGCCAACGGTGTTAGGTTAAGAGAGAGATCCATTTGAGACAGGATATGTTTCGCACGTATAAGAAGGAAGTCCCGAGAGACCTGTTACTTAGGAAGGTGCAGCAGAGCATTCAACTTAACTTAAAGAAGGGGCGAAGAATAGAGACTGAGACTGAAAACTACACCTATAATATACAGATATAATATACAAAAAGATTGCTCCTAGTCCTAGTGGTGGTAGTATTCAGTATTCAATAGTACGAAGTAGTAAGGCAAATCACCTCTCTTCAAACATAGACCTTAGAAACTTCAAAAGGTATCTCTACATAATACATATCTAGATTAAGGACAATTAGAATATAGCATACATTACAGTTGAAGGAAGGCACCACTAGGGATGGGCAAATACCCATCGGTTATGGGTAACCGCGGTTACCCGCCTATTTAAATTTCACGGTTATAGTTATGGGTAACCGTTTAGATAAATAAACGGTTATGGGTATAACCGTTTACCCACGAAATTTAAATGGGCGGTTATGGGTATTAACCGTGGTTATAAACGGGTAACCATTTATCCATTTATTTTATATATGTAAAATTAACACAAACCATATTCCCTATCGAACAAAACTTAGATCGATACTATTGACTATAGTGCATGATTTCTATAGCTAATATAATATAGTTTTCCTTAACCACTTTAAATTTCATGGTCCATTATATATATTATGTTAATATTTTACATTCCGAGTCAAATAACCCAAGAATACTTAGCAAATTTTATATTACCTTCATTGCTAACAGTTAAAAATATCGTCTGTAAACTATTATTTCAATTATTGGAATGGTATACGGACTTAAAAAATTAAAATGCGGAAATGTATGATGAATGTACCTATAATGGTGTTTAATTGTTAGCAAAATAAAATTATGACAAATTTTTCTTTTTTAATTTTCAAGTTGTTAAAAAAACATGTAGACGGGTGAAAAATGAGTAAACGGTAAAAAAGAAAGGATAAACGGGTTTAAAAATGATAAATGGGTAAACGGGTACTAAACGGTTACGGTTAAATGGGTACACAGTTATGGGTATGGTTAACCGTTTATAAACAGTTATGGGTATGAGTTTAACCATTTAGACAATTACCCAACGGGTAAACAGTTATACGTGTATGAGAATAAACGGCTATAGATAAATAACCACGGTTACCCGTCTGCCATAATCGTTGCCCATCCCTAAGCACCACATCATTAGAACCTGTAAAGTGGAATAACCAACATGGACCATCAACATTTCCACCCTCGAAGGAATCCCTATAATATCCTATTTTTTTCTTTAAGAGCAAGTTTCATTCCCTATATACCTTTTTGGCTTAATTTTGGATACTTAGAATAATATGTAAGGTAAATATGTGGTCATATTCACAAGACAAATTGGTGAAGAAAGTAAGGATTTCTCATGGCCCAAACGATGACTTACATGACAAATGTATATTTGTTTTTTGTTTGTTGTTTTTTTTTTTTTTTTTTTGACGTTTTGTGCTAATTGTAAAAATATGTGTATAACCTTTTGTTCATAAGAGACAAATTATTATACTATTGGCACCAGATTTTATAATGATATACGCATCAAAAAAGTTGATCTTATCAGAGACTAGGAACTTTTCGAAAGGCTTTTTCCTCCCTATTTGATGTGTTTACCGAGTGTGAACTTGTCTTTGCATTTGCATGCTGAGAGAGAGAGAGAGAGAGAGAGAGAGAGAGAGAGAGAGAGAGAGAGAGAGAGAGAGAGAGAGAGAGAGAGAGAGAGAGAGAGAGGAGAATATTAAACTAATGTAATGTGTACATATTTCTCTCTCTAATCTTTAGTTCTTGCGAGGTGGTGGCCTGAAATTCTTAACTCAGGCGCGAAGGGATAAGATAATGTGAGGCGGAAAAGTTGGGCGAGCAGCAGCAACCCATGGTTGCCATTCCCACCTGTCGATCAGAGTGGCCTTGAGGATGTGCAACAAGTGCTACCGTACAGGGCCCTTAATTTAGAAGAGTTCTTAAATTTTCATTACATGTATACAGATGCATATAAAATCGATTAGATGCAAAAGATAATCTTATTTGTGGTTCTAGCCCAAACGGTTAGCTCTTCTTTCTTCTAGCTCATGTGCTGGGTTTGAATCCTAATGAGATTGTTTTGTTATATTTTAAACTTTTGCAAATTTGTAAACAGAAGATAACAAAAAGATATCCAATGTGTATTGAACTCAGGACCTTTGAAGGTAAGGAAAAACACCTGGCTGATCAAACAACCTATTTTTGTTGCAATAACTTGTAATATTTTAGTTTTATAAATGAAAAAATTGAAAAAAATAATAATAAAGAAATATAACATTAAAAAAAATGAAGGGTCTCTATCTAAATTTTGCATAGGGCCTCTCAATACTCAGGCCGACCCTGTTGTTGATCTCATTCAAGGCTACTACAAATACGAAGATTATAGGTTCCCTTTTTAAAGAAGCTGGAGGAGGTTGGGGGTGATCCAAGATGCTCCATTTATATTCTAAATTCGCTCAAGAAAATGCTGCCACAGCCATCTCAATTGAATTATCATCCAAATTCATATTTATAATGGCTGTTATTATTGATACTCTAAAAAACTTACTATGCGTTGTTAATAAATGGTTTTTCTTTTAAAAAGTGCACAATGAATTTTTTAGAATGCTAATAACAACACTTTTTTCTAATTAATTGTTTTGCATGGTGTCATTTTTCCAAACAAAATTCATAAATACTTTTGAGTTACAAAATTATAAAATCAATGACTACAATGAGTGCCTTGTTTGGTCTAAATGAATGAACATTTTCTTCTTGGGTAATTTATTTCCTACTTTTAAGTTGGCCATAATTTTTTCATTCTTCATTCAACATACCTAAAAAATAGTGGCTTATTACAAACAAGGTCTAAAAAAAAACCCTAAACCCTTTTGTATAAAAACAAGAAATGATGCTCAAGCGGATACACTAAAAAATCTCTCTAGCATGACCACCGTGAAATTTTCAACTTTTAATTTCCAAAATTTTAGCTCAATATAATCAGGAATTTTTTCTCTTTTCTCCTTTTCTTTGTTCCATTCTTTTTCTTTCTTTTTTACTTGAAAAAAAAAATTATTGTACATTTGATTGTCTTGTTAACATGCAGAAAATGTAAATACCAACATGAAATAAATAGGTGAAACTTAAAGAAACATATTGTAACAGGTATCGAAGCCGCACCCATTAACAAGAGGAAGAAAGCAATGTTTCGGCAGTGCAAAATTATAGATGGAATCAAGCAGCATCACGTGATCAGTTCTGGTCGCTAGTGAATCGCACGATGGGAGCCATAAATGCTAAAATACCTTTATAAGTCTTCCTAACCCCCGAAAAAAGAAAAGAAAAAAAAAATCAACAGCATCACATGATCACCATGTTACACAAAATATAGAAAAAGTAGAAACTAAATATGTATTCAAAGAAACTTGTTTAATTACACACTACCAGAAATCTCCACGATCTTGCATTGCATGGAAAAAATATTACCAGCAGAACAATTGGAGAAATCATTACATATTACAGACTCATAATCCTATAAACATTCCTAGAAGGGAGCACATCCTCTGCAAATGTAAAAAATCATTGTAGAAGCTGCTGCAACCTTAAACCCTAAAACCTAAACTAGGCACAAACTAAACACAAAGATTATAACATCCCAACACCTTTAGATAGCAGACCAATCAATCTCCACCGAAGGGTACTTCTCCAATCCAAAATTCTCAGCCTCATCCCACTGAGAATCCGAGAAATCCAAGAAGGTAATGTCGGATTCCGGCGTAGATGACTCATCAGACCGATCAGACCGAGAAGGCGAAGATGACGACGACGAAAAGGCCTCCCATTCACTTTTTAATTCAGTTTTGAAAGAATCATCCATCCTAGTCTCTAAAGGAGCTGATACCATTGGCTTTGTCTCTGGCACAGAACAGGGCTCCCCTGTATTCCCCTGTTTCGTCGAATTAGCAGCCAAGCTCTGGCAAATCTCCTGGAGCTTCGCATCGACGGAGGAATGAAGGGACTTGTAATGGCCAAAGGCGCCGGAGTCATGAGCCCCTTGGTGCTTAAGATGGGGGAAATTGAGGCAAGCAAAGTCTCCCCGGAGCTTAAAAGCGGCTTTATCATAAGCCAAAGCAGCTTCTTCAGCGGTGTCAAATGTACCAAGCCAAAGACGTGTTCGGTTCCTGGGGAGTCTAATCTCAGCAACCCATTTGCCCCAGTGCCTCTGCCTCACTCCCCTGTAGAGCTTTGTCGGTTTGGAGGGAGTGCCAGCTTTCTTCATTGGGATTGCTTTTGTACTAAGCAGCTTAAGGTAAGCAGCTGAAGAAGCAAAAGCAGCAATCTGTTGCTTTTGTTGGTGTTGTTGGAGGACCATTTGGGATTGGATTTCAAGAATTCGAGATGGGGTAAGTTGGTTAAGCCCTATAACACCTGCTTGTGAAATCATAGGTGCTGAGCAGAAGTCAGGGTACAAGTTGAAGTTTTGGTTGTTCTGAGGAGGGTAAGTGTAAGAAGTGGAAGGAGATGTTGAAGAAGCACTTTTCATAAAAGGCATAAGCGCTTTCATGAGCTGATCTTCCCTCAAGAGATCATATAAATCTGGTGTCATTGTGCTGCTGCTGTAAAGATCTATAGCAGTTGCCATTTTAAAAAAATAGAAAATATTCTGAAAAACCTACCTGTTTCTTACCAAAATCAAAGAACAGGCAGATTAATTCTACAGATCAACAAGAATAAAAAAACCAGATAAAAAAATAAAAAAAGAGGTTAAGGTGCTTTTCTTTAACAAAGAAACAGCCTGTAAGGGTAAAAAAAAAACCCTCCTAATTATTTTTCAAGAAAAAACACAAGAAAAAATCTTAAAACTTTATAAGCGAAAAACAAAGAGAGAATCCTGGATCTCTGTTCTAAATTACCTGCTTTCAGCTCTCTCTCTCTCTCTGTGATTGGCTCACTTGTATTTCGTTGGGTGAGCTGCTCTGTGTTTATATAACCCTCAAAGCCAACGGGTTTCTCTCTCCTAAGGTTCCACTAAGGCTAGCCACACTTAGTTTTAAAATTGACAAAATCAGTCTCTAATAAAAAAGTCAGGCTAAAGTTTAGTCTCAGGATGGCAACATGTAGGGATGCATTTAATTGGAATTTTGATTTAATGAATTTTTATAAAATCATAAATTTTGATAGAGTTTAATTGATTTGTGAAAAAAATTTCGAAATCCTATGGAAAAATGTGAGATTTGTGAATTCTTAAAATGCAGTACGACATATTTCCCCCTCAAATTCCTTATCTTTTTAAAATTCTTTAAAATAAATTTATTATTAAATACACCTGAATTGTTATAAACTTATTTAAAATCCTAATTGAATGCACTCGGATTTCTAAGAATTTTAATAAATTACCTTAAAATCTTGGTTGAAGTACTGATTTAGTCCCTAAACTATCACTTAAAATCAAGTCCCTAAGTTATTTTTTGGGTAAAATGAGTCTCTAAATTCATTAAAAATTGCTAATTTCATTCCTACTAATATATTCAAAACTATTTTATTCAATTTTTCGTCAACTTAGGCCACTTGACACACTTTAGGATGTAATATGTCATTTTCTTGCCTATATATAAGCCCTTGAGGGATGGTGGCCTTCTTAGATGGGATCGTGTTGACCTCGAGTGGTTGTATAATACTGTGACCTCTTATATAAACATTTCCATTTGAATCTAAAGAAACTTCTGTTGTTGGAAAAAAAAAATACAAAGAAGAGATTACCCTTTAGAGCTTTAATTTTTCTTGGTATAAATTATTTTGAACATGATATATACTAATTTAATTTTATATTTTGGTAGTGAGAGAAGGGTGGGTTTTGAGGATGTGATATGAAGAAAGTTGAGGTTTCACCATAAAACCAATTGGCAATATGAGGAGTACCCCAACTTACTTATAACCACATGCAAGGTCCCTCCTCTCATCAATGTGTGATTCATTCTCAACAATATTGGAGATGGATTCAAAGGTGTCGTAACGTTGATCATTGGAGCAAAGTTTGGGTTTTGTGGGATGTCTGTTGGAGGGATGGACATTGTCGAGTTGAGGGCGTGCTTCAGAACGTTTAGCTGTGTTTGGCAGGGTAAAGAGTGCAGCAAAACATGATTTGAACAAGGTCTAAGATTTTTTTATAAGAGAAATGCTAAAGAGACTCTCTTAAAAGTGAAACTCTCTCTATGAACTTTCTGTCTCCTCATGTTTTTCTGCATAATGTTTTATAATGTCGGCACAAGAATTAACATTAAATTGTGAGTGGCAGAAGTTCATGGAGAGTCTTACTTCGAGAAAGTCTCTTTAACATACGCCCATCTCGAGCAATTATTTATTCAGTTTCAATAATGACGAATGAATAAAATGGAGATTCATACTGATAAATAATATTAGAGTTGCTTATAGATGTCATATAGTTTAGTTGTTTGCATTTGGCTTCATGGTTGGTTGGGTAGGGATTGGATTGGTTGGAGGGCTTATTCAATAATTATGCAAGGAGTGACGACAGTTTGAGAGGGACAAGATATCCCCAATTGCGGCGCAGGGGTTCATACATATGATGACAGGTTGGAAAGAAAGAAAGAAAGAAAAGATAGGGTAGAGATAGATAGGTGGATGGATAGATATATGTGTGGAGTGGAAATTTGGATTCTTGGAGTTGGCCAAAGGCCAATTTGCCTTCATCTCGCTAAGCAATGAGCCAATCCAACCTGCCCCCTCTACTTAGATTGACCATTCATGATGCAAATTAAAGAGTACTGAATTTTAAGTCTTTGTTTATAAATTGTAATGTTTTTTTATTTTTTTTCGAATATAGGACGCACATCACCTTACATTGATGATAAACTAATTAATGATCTATTTTAAACAATTCAAGTACTACATGAGGCATCAACATTTTTTTGGCCTCTTAATCAAACGGTACGCCAAACCTCTTAATCAAGTATATTCGTGGAAGTTCAAACTCGAGTTGGATGTTCCAAACGTGTGTAGCTCCATGCATTTATTGCTAGAAAAATGACCCTACATCTAATGAGTTTATTCATAATCTTGGTTCTCATAAAAATTAATAATCACATAGTTAAATGAGAATCGTAAGAGGATAAGAAAAAGTGTATATTACAACCGGTAGAGGTAAGTTTTTCTCAACGCCCGAGCAAAGGTGGCTTCTATTTTTTTTTGGGATAATTGTGTAATATATTTGTGTACTAAACGTTATTGTAGGTAAGTTAAGCCTAATATGTCAACAGACTAAACATCCAAAAAAAAAAAAAGTAAGGTCACATACCTTTTTTAGTTTCTTACATATCAACAGTCGTTGAATTGAATAAATTAAATAAAAATGACGAACATAATAAAATAAAGATGTGTTAAGGACTAGTAAGGGAGTCTGAGAATTGAGATGCTAGTAAGGCCTGGATTAATCATTTTCCTACCCAGAGAGGTTGCGTGTTATAGAAGTGATGGCATGGCACCGAATGGGACCTACTCAAATGAATCTAAGGGCCTGCTTTGATGTGGTCAGACGTTGTTGCCTTCGTGGATTTCACTTTGGATTTACACAATACACAAAATTGAATCCACTCCAGACCTTAGTGTTCGGAGCCCAAAGATCTACAAATTTGAGCCACACAAATTGAATCTGGCAGTTTTTATTAACTTATTTCGATGTCCCATCTCACACAAACAAATGACTCTGATTTCTTTTCCACACAAATTAAGGTCCAAATTTTTAGATCTCTAAGTTTCAGAGTGGATCCAATTCTCACAATACACATGCACTTCTAGCTGCATTAGAAGTATTACTCTCTCCTAGTCTTGTCTCTAAAGTTGTTCTCTTTTTCTTCTATTAATTATAAAAGGGCTTAGACTTATTTGTGAAAAACAAAAAGGTATACATGCATTATTGGGTCATATCTAAGAAACAAATTGGTCTCTGACTTAGTATTACTATTTAGTAATATTCATCTTTACTTATAAGTAAGATATTTTAAGTCCAAATAGAGATGAAACTACATTTAGTAGACGGCATTGTAGCACTTCTCAAATAGAAGCGATCAGTCATACCTTTATTTGGTACAATGTAATTTATTAAAATATAATCTTGCTAACATCACTCATTAAACTTTAACTCTGATGATAGACGTGAAGATGAGTAAGAATTGAAAGGAGCATTGAAGGAAGGCTTCATTAGTTGAATATCAGAGTGCGCAACGAACAAGACTAACAAATAATAAGAATATTATTAAACAAACTGAGAATGCCGAAACGGCTACAAAACCCTAAAAGATTACATTGTGGCTAACTTATTCTCTAATGAATAACAGAGCACCCTATTTATAATAAACTAACCCTAATTTCTAACAAAACCTAATTCTAACGGGCTAAGCCTATAAAACCAAACATTCAAATAAACCAAAATACTAATATTTTCCAACACCCCCATCAAACTCATGGCGGTACACGACATGAGTTTGCCAACAAGCAGATGTGGATGCAAGCCTCCAAATTCCAATGCCAATGTCGATGCAGATGCCAATACCAATGTCGATGCCAACTTCCGAACAAACAAACAAAAAATCCAACCAAATTTTTTTTTTCCTTTGCCCGCATGGGCCTCAAACAAGCAACCAATTTTTTCTTATTTCTTCCTTTTTTTTTTTTTTTACTCCCCTTTTTTTCCTTTGCAGCACTACAGACTTGCAGATACTCCTGTAGGTTGCGGCATTCAAAGGTGCAGAAGCAGAGTCACAGGACAAAAAACGATCGAACAATTTTTTCTTCTTGCAAACAATCAATACAACTAATAATCTAAACATGAACGACAACGGAAACGAGCAAACAAATATGATCACTCATATATTTCATGCATTTATACCATCCATTTCTAAAGTCTTTGTGATGTTTTTGTGTTAAAATTGTGGCATTTTACCTTATCTTGTGTTAATGTGCAGTTAAATTTATTTTAGGATCACTTTCAAGCAAAATGAAGAAAATGAATTAATAAAAACAAATAAGAGAAATGGAAGTGGAGCTTGTCTCCACGGGGTGATGTTTTGAAAGGATCATTGCCTTATTGTTTAAAGCAAAAGATGGCAGACAAGAAAAGTAGAAGAACAAAAAAAAAAAAAGAATACAAAAAGCAGGAGGGCAGCACACGGGAGAGGGCAGAAAATAAAAGGGCCAAGATAGCAGTGCGCAAAGCAGGAGGGCAGTGACCAGGCGTAGGGAAAGAGGCGCAGGAAGAGGAAGCAAAGGGAACGGAGAGCTCGTTTGGAAAAAACGGTTGTTTTCGTTCTTTGTTATTTTTTTATGGATAATTTCTTATGTATTCAAATAATTATGTGTAACTAATTTATTTTGCTAGAGTGAGGTCATAAGCCGCAACATGATTACGTAGATTTCTCTTTCAATTGCTTAAGTGTTGTTAAATGCTTGCTTTGATATTTTCAATCTCTAAATTAAACTATCTATGTGTCTTGATGCTTGATCACCATTAGGATGTTTAGAAAAGTCATTAGATGCAATTTTGAATGAATGTCACGTTAAAATTGGTTATGCTTCTTGTGATTGAGGATTGTAATTTCTCCTAAGGTAAATATCATACTCTTAGGGATTACATGGTTTAACAAAAGGATTTTCATCAAGATTAATGAATCATTCATGTTTATATTTAATCCAAATGTCATGGATAAATTGCATGTAGTGGTATGCGTTTTAGCTTGAATGTCACAAGTAAAACATACACAAGGAAAATCCAACCTTCAAAGCATGTGTGTTTTCAATTATTTAAGCAATTGGAAGAGCTACGTAGGAGTGTTGTTGGTAAAGGTTGAACTCTAGCACATTGTCAATCTATTTTTCTTCAATCATTTATTTTATCTTGAATTTTCTCATTTACTTCTTTTGTTAAGTTGAATCATTATTCCTATAAACCAATTCCCATTTTAGATATTTGTTTAAGTCACATCCAGTAGTATTTAGTTTCGTCAAATTAGT